CCAAACAGAGGTAGTAATTTTTCAAAGAAAAGTCAAGTAGATATTAATTTGGTAGATCTTCTATTAGATCCCGGACTACGGCCTCGGATTATGAATTATAATCTTAATGATCGATACCAAATTCGTAGAGTTTATCTACAAAAAAAATCTTTGTCAACCCTGCGACCATAATTTTTCACAAAAAAAATTTGGTATTAAACTACGACGGTTTAATAAGGATTGATTTTTGTAACTTGGTAACTGACTTGGGTATAGTGTAGCGAAAGATGCAATATTTTGTTTGTGTTATTATCTTTTGAAGTCAGATATGGGGGAACAATCAGGTGGCAAAACATTTGTTAGCTCAAACTTTTCAAATTGAAAGAGAATAGAGAAGTTCCAAATGTTGGAGAGGTTAATAGTTCTCATAACCAAGCTTGGAAAAAATGTCAAGATTTATTAAATCCAAAGCAAAGTATTGAAGCTATTTTCTTCAAACAGTCAAATCAAGCTCGAAGTGAATACAGAACCCAGTTGAATGCATCCATTGATTGTATTCAATTTCTTCTAAGGCAAGGGTTTGCATTTCATGGTCACAATGAATCTGAGAATTCAAGTAATCAATGAAACTTCCTTGAGCTTTTTAGATTTCTTGTTGATCACAATGAGGATATTAAAGTTGTTGTGTTGAAAAATGCTCTAGAGAATATCAGGTTGACTTCGCCTGAAAATCAAAAAGACATTGTAAATGCAGTTTCTGTTGAAACGTGTAATGCTATTGTGACCCGTCTTGGTGATGCACTTTTTTTCTATTCGTATTGATGAATCATGTGACATATTAACAAAGGAGCAAATGGTTGTTGTGTTGCGATTTGTGGACAAGAAGGGACATGTAGTTGAACATTTTTTAGGTTTTGAACATGTTACTAATATTAATGCTCTCTCACTTAAGGCAACTGTAGAAAATTTATTTGTTAGACATGGGTTGAAATTGTCAAGATTGGACGGGCAAGGTTATGATGGGGCCAATAATATGCGAGGTAAGTTCAATGGTCTCAAGACACTTATAATGAAGGAGAACGCATATGTGTATTATGTCCATTGTTTTTTGCATTAATTGTAATTAGCTCTTGTGGCAGTTGCAAAGAAACATATTCAAATTGCGACTCTTTTCAACTTGGTTGCTAATATTATGATTGTTGTGGGAGCCTCATGTAAACGGTGAGATATTCTTAGGGAGAAACAAACGACTAGAGTTATTGAATTACTCGATAATGAGAAACTTACAAGTGGCACAAAACCTAAATCAGGAAACTAATCTTACACGTGCTTGTGGTAAACGTTGGGGTTCACATTATTATTCTTTGATCAATTTGATTGATATGTTCTCATCACTGATTGATATGTTTTCAAAAGATGGTATAAATGCAGAACAAAGAGAGGAGACAAATGTTCGTATAAACTTGCTACAATATTTTGAGTTTATATTCAATTTTCATTTGATGAGAAACATATTGGAAATCATAAATGAGTTGTCGCATGCATTACAAAGGAAATATCAAGATATCGTGCATGTTATGAAATTAGTTCAAATATCTAAGCAACGACTTCAAATAATGAGTAAAATTGGTTAGAGTTGTTTTCTTGATGATGTTACATATTTTTGTAAAAAACATGAGATAGTTATTTCAGAGATAGACGATACCTTTAACGTTCGAGGGAGGTCAAGACATACTCAAGAAAAGACAAATTTGAATCACTATCAAGTTGAGTTATTTTATACCGTCATAGGTATGCAACTTGAAGATTTAAATAGTCATTTTACCGAGTCAAACACTAATTTACTTCTTTGTCTAACATGTTTAAGTCCTTCTGATTCCTTTTTAACTTTTGACAAGGAGAAATTTGTTCATCTTGCTCAATTTTATTCGAAAGAATTTTATTCATTAGAGCTCATGATACTTTATGATCAGCTGGATAGTTATATTATTGATATGCACTCTAGTATTAAGTTTTCAAATTTATTAGGGATTGGAGATCTTGCTCAAAAAATAGTTGAGACAAAAAAAAACACGTGGTATATCTATTGGTTTACTTACTTGTAACATTGACATTGATCTTGCCAGTTACGATAGCCACAGTAAAAAGAGCATTTTCGACTATAAAAAAGGTTTAATTAGAATTTGTATATTGATTTTTGACTCTTTTGTCAATGAAATTTTAAGTATTATATATGATTTAAAAAAATTATTTCTCTTTAACTTTAATCCTTAAGAAAGCAAATTTTTAAACTTATAGTTAATGCCCCCAAATATAAATTTCTGACTCTACCCCTGTTCATATACAAAAGTACAAATTATAAAATTAAGTAAAATCATAAAAAAGAATATTATAGAAATTTAGATATATTAACATTTATAACTCTTTATAAGAATAATACTGAATCAAAAGTCTTTCATGTTATATTATTAAAAAAAATTATTTGGACTTTTAATATAAATGCTTTTTCCTTATTTACATAAAGAGAGATCTGGGCAAAGCAAGACCAAGTGGTGGATTGGGAAACTCATGGCATGAATAGTCAATTCAATACAAGAAAAGATACATAACGTCATTAACAACCGAATTAAACTCTAATTTACGCCAAAAAAAAAAAATTAATTAAACTCTAATTTACGCAAAGTTGTATACCATTGGTAAAACAGTAAAAAACAATCAGAAAATTTTAATTATGTGTTCTATAATTGTAATAATTTCAGAAACATTCTTTAAATTTTTTATTTTTATTGGCATCTCCTAATCTTTTATTTGTCTAATGAGGAAGGTTAAAAAAAAAAAATTTACGTATTTATCCTTATTTGAAAACTGTTTTTTCTGTGTGTGTGTGTGTGTGTGGGTGGGTGGGGGGATGCAAAGAACCCTTTCCACATATAAAACCACCATGTCATTATCGGAAACTAAACAAACAGTGGCCCGATGTTGTCACGAGTTCTATGAAACTTGTAGGACATGACTCATGAGATACGACAATGTTTAGGGATGTGGTTGGATTTTTATTTTTTTTAATTACTAATTAAAGAACAAATAATGTTTTGATGCCCTAAACTATTGTCTCTTTTTCTTACATTACCTTCTCAACTCTTAAATCTCACATTTCTATGTCACATATTTTACCTATTGTTATTGGTACTTTTGTGTTACTCGCACCTAGGGCAGACTCAGAGGGTAAGCCACTTTAACCTCCGCTTAGGGCTTCCAAAAAAAGAAGGGCTCCAATTTTATTTATAGTCTTTATCAATTAGATTTTGGATTACAAAGACATTAAATTTCTTTTATTTAATAATTTTATATTTATAATTTAATCTGATTTAATTGTTCTTTTTATTAGTGAATGTCTGATTTAATAGACGATTTAAAATACAAACAAAGAATCAAAGTTTATATACAATCTCTATTTATCAATTACTTTTGTTTCATTTCATTTTTAAAAATATTCTAAAGAAATTATAGTGGGTTAGTCATATTATCAATTAAAAGTATATATTACTAAAATTTGAATATAGAAACTTAATTATTAATTTTGCATCACAAAAAAGCTAGAACACTAATTTTTACTAAAATTTTAATCATAAATCTTGTGTATTTATTATTAATTTTAAAAAGTATCATTTATAATTTTCGCTTATGGGCTCAATTTTTATTGGGCCGGCCCGCTTGCACCTCCTAATATAGTTATTAATTTTATATTATTCCAAATATAAGCATCGACAATATTTGGGTACCTTACTGCACAAATGGACGATTCTGTTAAAAAGCATGGCTTATTTCTAGTTTGGGAATAATGTAAAACTAGTTTAAGAAATTGAGGAGGTAAAGTCAAACACGCATTAGATGAGGCAGACCAGGTAGGATCAGAGACTTCAGAACTTTAGGGTTTGTTTCGATGAAGTTTTGGAAAGAATTTGAATTGGTTTTTTTCAAATCTTTTTAAACTCAAACCTTTTTGTACAAATATGAGATTTAACATTGAATTTAGTTCATACCCATGTTTGGTATGTAATACATACACATATAGGACCCACGGATATATCATAATTATTAACAACTATTTATCTTATAAATGACTATTTTATTTTTGATTAATTTAATTCATATACATGTTAAGGGATACAATTGTCTTTTGCATCCTTAAACCCCTTAACTCATCTTCCCAAATTCACCGCTCTCCTAAGTTTAACGAAATCTATGATCATGAGTTTAATATTCGGGTCAACTACGAGCCGAATTTGAAAACTCATAATTGAATTTTCACTCCAAACATGAGATTTGGGGAGTCCTTTGCATTATTTTTGTCAAACTCATATTATCAAGCTCCTCCTACCCTCCTTACCAAACAAACCCTTAAGCGACATCATGCGTACACCAAAATTTTGACAAACTTTAAAATAATGCGACATTATTAATAATCATAAAATAATTAGTAAAAGTTTGTAAAAACTATTGACTATTGGATAAACATTGACCTGAAATTCAAAAAATTTGAACATTTAAAAATAATTAAATGGTTGAATATGATTTTTAGTAATACAGAGGTTTCAAATTTAATCTTTTTTCACACTAATTAAAAATTAATCATTTTTGCCATATTCTAATCCACCTCAAATAATAATAACAGCCGTTAAGTTTGAAAGGATGGTCGGTACAAATCTGATCTCCCGACAATCTAAAATTTTTTATTGGACCCATAATTCATGTGGTCAAAGTATAACTTCGGCTCGAGTAAAACAATGAATCAAAGATTCTCAAATTGGCTTTCAAAGGTAACAAAGAGAATCGTGAAAAAATGGAGAAAAGATGACCACATCTGTCTCTCTCTCTCTCTCTCTCTCCTCAATTTAGCTGTTGGAAAGCGCAATACGTCTCTTTCTGTATATTTATTCCCTTGGACAACTGAAAACGTAGCCGAAGGTGAACCCTTCTCTCTCCTCCCTCTCTCTCTGTGCAACCCATTATTTGAAGGCATGGGGTGGGGCGGAGAAGCCGAGATTGACCGGCTTCCGGTTGACCTACTCGCTCACATCTTTTCACTCATCTCTTGCTTCAAAGATTTGGCTCAGTAAGTTTGTTTATCATCTTCTGACTCATTTGATTTTCAAAATTAACATAATTTTTGTGCTTTCATGTCCCTTTTGTCTGTGTTTCTGTGTGTAATATGTGTTTGTATATGCTGGCAATACAGGACCAGCTGCGTGTGTAGGAAATGGAGACAAGGAGTGAAGGAATCCTTGGCTCGGAGAGAGAAGTTGAGCTTCGCTGGTTGGAAAATGGACGATCAATCCACCACTCGCCTTGTGGTCCATGCCTACAGCCTCAAGGAGCTCGACATGTACATCTCCCCCTCCCCCTCTCTCTATCTCTCTCTCTCTCTCTACACACACACGCATATATATTTGTTTTGTGCCTTGATTGATTTAAGTTGTATTCTCTTTAGGTGGAGAGTGTTTAAGTTTCCGAATGCCAGGTTTAGTCTTCAATGTCCACTAGTGAAATGGAGCTATTGTTTGGTGGGGTTTCAAATCTGTATAGCAGATGAAAACAGACAATTCAAATTACAAGTTTGCATTGATGTCCACCATTTTTTCTATAATGGCCATTTTTAATAAAAAAAAGAAAAAGAAAAAAAAGAGTAGAAATAGGATAACCCATGGGTATTAAGTTAATCTTTCAATACATTAAAACCTTTTTGATGTGAAACTAGGCATAGGTATTTGATGAGTTTCTGCCTTGTATTGATGATGCAAAATTGTGTTAGTGTCATGTATCTTTATCGACATTTTGAACTTTGGGACGTTGATTCCTTTGGTTTACTAACGGTTCGTTTCTATGCTTGTATGTTCAGTTCAAGGAGCCGTTGGGATTGCCAAATAACAGATAATGGACTGCACCAATTATCATTGGCAAAATGTGTTAGCAACCTGTCCTCAATATCTTTATGGGGCATTACCGGCATCACCGACAGAGGTGTTGTTGAAA